TTGAATTAGAATTATCTTGGGATTGATCCTGGGATGCTTTGTATAGATTTTAATAATCCTTTGATCCAAAATGATTTCTCAGGTAGACGAATGAAAGCAGCAGATTTACGTATAATTGAATTTTAATTTGCCCAGAGAGGGAACTATTCTTGCAGAAATAGCCGCGGATATTCAGTCGCTAAACGATAATTGAATCGGATTTCCGAATCCCACGATTAAGTCGCTTTCCTCGTCAATTTAACGCTTTCTTCGTCCCTCGTATTTTTTGAAGGAGATAGGAATATTTTATCCGAAAGACACCCCGCGCATATTACAGCCAGCGAGCAATGCCAATGGCATGAATAGCTGATGAATCGGTCCGAATGAATTTTATCACCCCAATGCGATCCAACCGCATCCGTCCGTACCATTTGTTCAGCCTTCGTGCAAGACGAATGATTATATATTTTAACACAGAGCTTATACGTACCGCAATTGAAGCAGTCCGCACAGTCGCGGTTTACCGCATACAACCCTCCCGGAATTGCAGACCGATGAATTGGCTTCCGGACTACGAAATGATGCCACAGCCGCGGAACGCGCTCCAATTTGCATGGAGCAATATTATTTTATCCTCGAATCCAAGGACCAGCTTGCGTAAGCGCGCGCGGATATCAATATGTGGGATGAAGTTGCAGTCTTCACTGTTATCATGCAAGCGGAAATTCAAACCTTTCGAGGCACATCCTCGAGATATTAACGTTGAATTTTATTTCTATAAATATAAAATTGCTAAAGGGAGATATTATAAAATATAGTACACTATTACTCAAACTGATTGAAAAACTTGTTATATATTAATTTTTATTTGTAGCTTTTAAGTTTTACTTATAATATTCGAATAACAACATATTTTGAATTGACATACATTTTTCTGAAATGTTTCATTTCAAATATTTTCATGTATTGGTATTTCTCGTAATAAATTCGTACGTTCGCGAGATTCACAAGTTTCGAATGTCCGTTAAGGTTGTATGCATATTTAATGTGAATATTGTACAAAACGTTTATGCACATGTTATGCGTTATTGCATTCTGAAATTATAACAATATAATGTTTTCCAAGTTAAAACATTTCAAGCACACAATTTTAACATAAAGATGACGTACGTATATGTATAATAGACTATTTGACACATTCGGCAATTTGTAAGGAAAAGAACAATGAAGATAAACGATATTTGTGAATTAAATTATTCAATATTTTTTTTACAATTCTAATAGATTTCTGGAAAAAAAAAACAGTTAATGGACATTCCTACATTGGCTGTTCTTAATTAATGAATATCCGATGGTGCTAATGTAATTAACGGCGTTCGATTAAACTGCAAATGAAAACCACCGAAATAGTCCCAACGACCATTCTCGTTTTTCTTGAATTAACTATGCAACTGTGCTTTCTCCGCAGATGGTGCAACGAAATAACAAAAATACAGTCGTGTTATCATAGAGATTAATCCATTATTTATGCAGCTTTATTTTCTTCGAGTCTACGATATTTTGCTTCTTCTTACAGTAAATTATCAAATGATAGCTTCAAAATTTATAATTTTCACGTAGTCCACTGAAAATTTGACTTAACCCTTCCAAGTCTAACTTTTGAGAAATGGAACATATAATGTCTAATTAGTTTTAAAGATTTCAGGGACCACTGAATATAAAAATGAAGTCGAAATATAAAAATTGACAAAAGCTTGAAAATTGCAATTGTTTATACATTAATAATATATAATAAATAATTTTCTTTAAAAGTACTAGTTAAACTAAATGACTTAATATTTACAAAAATATCATTTTTTAAAGATACTAGTACGTGCATGTACCACTAGATCTGAAAGAGTTAAAAGTACATTTTAGATTAATCTACAATCTGCAAAAAGGGTAATAATAATTAAGTCTGGTAATAATAATTAAGTCTAGATGATAGCTACTAAAGTCTGGTGAAATAATTTCAATTAAATGTTAGATTAATAAAACCAAAGCCTATTAAATGTTAATTTTACTTTTCTAAATATTACCAAACGATTGGTTACTATTATTATATTTGGTAATATTTATTTAAATATCGCATCAATATGCTAAACAAAATACATTAATAATTATTATTTTCTTTTTAATGTAAAAGTATTTTTTATATATACAGTTGGTTTCTTTCATGTACTTATAAGAATATATACATCATAAAAGGCAATTTACGTGCGAATTTATCATGTTTCTTGGCCATTTCGTTCTTGTTATAGTGTATCTGAAATATGTTTTTTCCATGTGCGATTTGCATATAAAGTAGATGTGTGAGAGAACAGAAATAGAGACTTGTCGTTGCTATCATCTGGGTCACAGGTGACGAGTTTGGCCGCGTTTCAGGTAAACGAGACCCGTCCTTGGATAAAGTGCTCGTAGTGCCCCTTCCAGAATCCTTCACATCCATGAACAAAGCATTTCCATGATCTGATGCAAATATTTGCGTGGCAATATATGTTATTTTTTATACGTATAAACAAAGTCAATGGCCAGTACAAAAAGATACACATTCGTATATTTAACTAAAATAAGACGAAAGCTATATTGATATTAAAATGATTATTCTTTTATTACGCATCATCTCGTACATCGACATTTCTATGAAAATGCATAAGTCTTCACAGAAGTGAAACTAACCGGTAGACGATTATGTAAACATGCAATTAACGTATCAATATACAATTCTCTGATCTAACCTAAGTTTGCAGCACAAACAATTCGTCTGAGACAATTTTGAGGTTGTAACAGATTAGGCTTTAAGCTTGATCGACCGAACAACTACAGCTTAGAATTCGAATACTGTTATTAAACCACCAAATCCAGTCACGATTGCTCGTAAAGTCTCTATTCAACTAATCCGCCAAAGAGTACGCAACGTCGATAGCTGCTACTGAAGTTTTAGTAAATAAAGAAATATATATATATATATATAT